GTATGTGATACTTTGATTGGAATAAATTTTCGCTATTTTACAGAACTTAATGTTTGAGATTAAAAAAGTAAAAACAAAAAAAGATTGGTGTACAATATCTGAGGAAAAAGACTTATTCAAATAATTTTATCATCGTTTCCTAGGCAATGACTCATTTTAATATCCAGAATGTATGCACAGCGAAAAAACATATTTGGCTGTCATAAAATATTGACAAGTTTAATTTTTTTAGGAGGTCTTTAATGAGAAAGGTTGTGGCAATGACATTGTGAAATACAACAACGGCAGCTGTTCAATTTTTTTCCCAAAAATAAGTATTTAATTTACAGTTGAAAAAAAAAAATCACATTGTTAAAGGCAATGTCATTCACTGCCAAGTGAGTGAGCTACACACATGGAGCTCCAGGCTTCAAACAACCCACCCCAAATAACTTAATTAACCAACAAACACCGCTCTGTACACATATAAAATGAAGCAGAGAATCATGGGTATTATCTAATCCAAAATGGCGATGATAATCACCTTCCATCAACCATTCAACATAAACTTCTACAATTTTTATCACACATTATACAAAGTACATATCTTCATTCACCATTCTGTTTAAATATTTCAAGCAATGATTGAAAATAAAACGATGCTCACTAAGCGTGGCTAAAAACATGAATGACTAAGACAAAGGCACACAAAAGAAAGCAATTAGCAAGGGACGCTAGGGGATGTGTGCAAAAAGACATTGATTGGTCCGCAAAAAACAAAGCTGTGGTAGGTAAACAAAGCTGTGATAGGTCAAAATAAACGAGCTGTGATAGGCTGAAGGCAAGACGGCCAGAATCCGGATTAGACTCCAAGCTAAGGGCGTTTTACAAAATCGATTTTAGCAAGCCAAAATCACACAAAATGTTATAGTTTGGGTGTATTTGAAAACTGAATTTTAGTTTTCTGCACTATTAAAATGAGAATTTTGTTTGATTTTTAACACATGCTCATAAACAGATAGAGAGAGAGAGACAATAGAATTTCTTATTTCACTCTGTTTTTCGAGTAACTCGCTGTTTCATGTGTCATTTTTGCCTGTTACATATTCATTATCACATTACTTTTCCCAAATGTGTTCTTTGGTAGAAGTAGGGGTTGTGCACTGATCAGTAGTTGAATAACTAATATGTTTGTTTGTTCAGCGTATTATAATGCTGGACATTACCTTTAAGAATACAGAACTGAATACTGAATATGAGAAGCAGTGGATAGTTAAAATATGAAGAAAGCAACTGTAATCATTTCGTGGAGAAGGGTGTAATTAAGACTCATACTTGCAAACTTTCATTTACGAGGAGAGGACATGTTTTAATTATCAACAACCCTAAGCTATTGTTTTGCACATTCACTTATGCGCTATATCATAAAACCTTGGTGACCCCTCAACACGAGAGGTCACACTATGTATCATTGGCAATGTAATTGATTTTTGTGTCCAATATTCTGTCATTACAGCGCTGATCCGTGGAAAGTTGCCAAAATGATTAAGACGTATATGCAGCAGCACAATATACCGCAACGTGAAGTCGTGGATTCGACAGGACTCAACCAGAGTCACTTGTCTCAGCATCTCAATAAAGGCACGCCAATGAAAAACACGAAACGAGCTCAGTTGTATGGATGGTTTGAGAAAAAACAACATGAAATCATGAATCGTAAGTTTTCAACACCTTGTCTCGACTAATTTCTTTT